GGTGCGTCCTGACCAATGCAATGTACAGCGAATCTATGACATCTTGTGATCTGGATGTTATGCCTCTGTTGATGCACCCCAAGATCCTGAAGCCAATGCCTCGAGGGCGCTAAAGTTCTTTCACTTGTGTGGCTAGCTGATAAACCACACAGTAAAACAATTATCCAGGCAGTAAAGGGTAACAAAAGAATTTATTCGAATAAAGGAACAGCTCGTAGATGTTCAATGTGTTACAGCAGGGAGCTTGCTTATATGCTCTTCTTGCTCCTCCTCACTTTACATCATCACTGACATAATTTAGACATGCTCAGTTCAGTTTCATTTGTCTGGTCAGTCATCAATCACATATTTGACTTGGCTGCATCTCAGCTCCTACAATGCAGGTGCACTGCTCATTATGTTGATTTATATTACTTTTGGCTGTTTTCCTAGACTCCTTTCACCTGAGTTCATTTTTTAGTACAAACTTAGATGTTTTCATTACAAAAATGGTTCTTTCACCTTAATACATGCATATAAAAGTATAACAATATTCTTAAAGCATTTTATAAACTTATTTTATAAACTTATTTTTATAAACTTATTTTCAGTAAAAGGTATACAAAATATGAAAACATATCATTACAATGACATTCTAAAGAATTAAACCCTTTATATGAATTATTTTAGTGTTTTAAAGTAGCCTATGGCATAAGTGCTTGTAGATGCACTGAATCTATCAATCAGTTTCTATTTTGGTCCATCAGAATATTTTTGATAATTTTATAAAGCCATTTTTGTCTAAATTAAAGTTTTAATTTGTAAAATACACCACCTTATTTTAGCCAGCAGAGGGTCCTCTTTTATAATCCACCTTGAGTCCAAGTGAGAAAGGCGGACTATAAATAACATAAATAAAAATGTAAAAATTAAATAAATTAGGAATGAGAAGTAAACATCCTGACTTAATCCTGGCTTATAGCCTGATGGCTCCTATGCTAAAGCAGCAGCTGGGACATCAGCTGGGTCTGGTGGGGGGGTGGGTACAATGAAACCCGCATTTGTTGAAGGCAGAGCAGGATTTGAATGATCCCAGCCAAGCCAGATCCTGGGTCCCGGTCACACGGGCCGGAAAAAGCGGGGGGGGGAGTGCACGGCCGCCCGATCACACGTCCTGTCGAGGTTCCGTGGTTAGGGGGTGAGGTGCCGATCACACGGTTATCCAGCAGCATGGCAAAGAAGCGGCAAGGCACGAACACAGCAGCAATCGCTAGGCACTGCTCCTATGGCAAACGGGTGTTCATTTTACCACAGTTTGTGCGCATGCGTCGTTGGGCGCTTTTGTGCATCCTGCGGAGACTGGGGGGGGGAACACCCTTGTTTGCGAAGGAACATCGGCGGGCGCCAGATGCCACAGGAGTCCACCGGAAACGCGATCAGATGCCCGCCCTTGCCCTGTGGTGTCCGGGTGTCCAGGGATCGTAGGTACTAGTTTTTTAGTCCGCATCTTCAGTGGGATGCCATGGGCTAACCACAGGAGCACTACGCTTCCCAGATGTTGCGGTATGACCGCGCCCAGAAAATCCGCCTATCATTTGTATCTTTAGCGCGGCAAATGCTCCGTGTGACCGGGGCCCTGGTTTCACAAATTAACTATAGCAAAAATAGAACAAAGTTTGAGTCCAGTGGTGCCTTTAAGACCAACAAAGTTCAATTCTTCATGTGATGGCTGAACAGAGACAGTTTGTGGCACTGGGACAGTTCATCTGGTAACAGAGGTTGCTACTGGAGCAAGAACTTTAATTGTATAGCTGCACTCACACAAAGGCCTTTTGGGCTTACTTAGGTCTCTATTGTAAATAGTAGGCTAGCAAGTCTGAATTTGTTTCCTTGATGGAATAATCAGCTGAAGCTTTAGTTGATATGTTAGAAGGCACCAGTTTTAATCAGACTGAGAGCTGATGAAAGGGTTGTTTCTTAGTCTCTTTGTAGTTTTGGTATGTTACAGTAGCAGAGCGTGAGAAAATATCAAAGCTGGCCCTCTTTTTTAACAATGAGAGGAGGAGGAGGAGGAGGAGGAGAAGAGGAGGAAGAGGAATTGGATTTATACTCCGCCCTTCACTCGGAGTCTCAGAGCAGCTTACAAACTCCTTTCTCTTCTTCTCCCCACAACAGACACTCTGTGAGGTAGGTGGATCTGAGAGAGCTCTGACAGAAACTGCTCTTGAGAGAACTATGACTGACCCAAGGTCACCCAGCTGGCTGCATGTGGAGGAGTGGGGAATCAAACCTGGTTCTCCACACTGGAGTCCACCACTCTTAACCACTACACCAAACAAACTTCTACCTGTTGCCATCTCCAGTACGGACCCTGAGTAGACAGGGTTGCCAGCTCTGGGTTAGGAAACTCCCAGCAATTTTAGGGCTGGCATCGGCGGAAGGCAGGGTCCGGGGAGGGGAGAGACCTTCGTGGAGTATAATGCTGTACAGTTCAGCCTACAAAGCAGCCATCTTCTGCAGGGGAACTAGGGTTGCCAGGCTCCAGGTGGGGCCTGGGGATCTCCCACTTTTACAACTGATCTCCAGCTGACAGAGATCAGCTCCTCCAGAGGAAATGGCAGCTTTGGAGGGTGGACTCTCAGGCACTGTGCCATGATGAGGCCCCTCACCAAACCCTGCCCTCTTCCAGATCCATCCCCAAAGTCTCCAGGTATTTTCCAACCCAGACCTTGCAACTCTAAGAGGAACTGATTTTGGTTGTCTGAAGAACAACTGTAAAAGTGGGGTAGCTCCAGGTGCTGCCTGGAGATTGGTAACCCTGTGAGGGCATCACTTTGGGCGGTTAATGGGCTTATTCAGATTCCTGTCCTGAAAGGTCCGAGCAGTCATTCCAAGACCTGATAACGCATTCTCTTCCTGAAAGCCGTAACGGGAGCGTCTCCTCTGCCTTTGTCTCTGAGGAATTCAGGGGCCTTGAGACCCTCTTGGAGGGTCACTGTGGGAGAGCCCTGGGCAGGGACACCGAGCCGGAACTCTTCCTTGGGAGTGAGCCCCGTTGCGTAGAGTAGACCTGCTTAGAATGGCACTGCAAGTGGGGAGGCTGCCAAGCAGAGATGGAAAGAAATGGACAGAAAGGAAACCATGCATTGACAGTCAACAGGGAGTACAGGGGCCAACTCCTGGAGATTTGGGGGTGGAGGCTGGGGAGGGGAGGGTTTGGGGGAGGAGAGGGACCTCGGCAGGGCATGCCACCCACTCCACTCTCTGAAACAGTGATTGGCTCCAGGGAAACTGATGTTTGTAGTCTGGAGATCAGTTGTGATTCCAGGAGATCTCCAGGCCGCACCTGGATGTTGGCAATCTGAGCAACAGATCCCTAGAATGCTGTTGCCAAGCTCACGTGCTGGCATATTTTAGTGCCAGAAGTGTCTCAGAGTTATATTTTTTTAATTTCAGAAGATTTTACCTACTGAACACCTTCCTTCAATACATAATAGCTGCCTTAAGTTATTTCTTACCATTCTTTAAGGCTCTTTGCAATTCTGATAGTCATCCTAAATCAGTTTTCTTAACCCAGCAGTTTTCATGCTCTAAAAGCCATCTTTCAACACAAGCTTCAGTGTCCCAAATTAAGAATTTAATTTTTTTTAAAAAAAACCCACAATCTCAGGTGGAGCAATAAGTCATTCACCCCTCCCTGGCTATGACCCAGTGCCTGGAGGCTATCTTGTAATTCCCTCATAAAGTTTTGAAATCTCTCAGAAAAGATCTCAACTTCAGGCCAGTACAGCATCATCCATATTTGAGATGGTTTATTTCAGTGGGCTTCAACTCTTAGGATGAATTGTGGCCATTCTGTGAATGTTTTTGGAAGGACCTGTCTCACATTACATATTAGGTCAACCAAGACCATTATTTTGGAATGTGTTCAAAAATCCCTTTGGATGATCAGATATATTTCATAGAGTACTGGCAGTCTACTGTGACATTATGGCTCAACAAGTCAAATCTAGTCACTACCCTGTCTAGAACTGTCTGTTCCCATGGGTTGGATCCAGTCTAGATTTTCTACCAAATGAGAAGGACTTCTGTCAGCAGAACGGAAATTTCCTGCCTTGCCCCACCCACAGCAGCCCACTGATCTCCCTGAGATGCTGCTGCTCATCGGCAGGGGACCCTCAGGAATGGCAAAGTTCCACAGGAGGAAAAAGAAATCACCACTTCTGTTTTTAAAGGTAACCTCCATTTTAGATGAGGTAACTCTCTGAACACGAATATCAGGAAGCAACACCAGGTGAAGGCCTTGGCCTCTATGCCTAGTTGCCAGGCCTGCTGTGGAACTGGTTGGCATCTGTGTAAGACAGGATGCTGGACCACTGGTTTGATCCAGCAGGGCTGTCATTATGTTCTTATCAGGGAAAGGCTTTGGCCTCTATGCCCTGCTGTTGGCCCTCCAGAGGAACTAGTTGGCCACTATGTGTGAGACAGGATGCTGTACTAGATAGACCACTGGTCTGATCCAGCAGGGCTCTTCTGATGTTCTTATAAGGGGAAGGCCTCAGTGTCTATGCCCTGCTGTTGGCCCTCCAGAGGAACTGGTCAGCCACTGTGTGAGGTAGGATGCTGGACTAGATGGACCACTGGTCTGATCCAGCAGGGCTCTTCTGGTGTTCTTATAAGGGGAAGGCCTCAGTATCTATGCCGTGTTGCTGGCCATCCAGAGGAACCAGTTGGCCCCTGTGTGAGACAGGATGCTGGACTAGATGGACTACTGGTCTGATCCAGCAGAGCTCTTCTTATGTTGTTATCAGGGGAAGGCCTCGGCCTCTATGCCCTGTTGTTGGCCCTCCAACACGATGCTGGACTAGATGGACCACTGGTCTGATCTAGCAGGGCTCTTCTTTGGTTATTATGTGGCTATTCTGGAAATTCCTATCATTTCAGGAAAACTAAAGATAGTAGGGCAAAGAGTGCCGCAAAACCATCTCATTAAAAAAAACAACAGAAAACCTCTGGTTTGAATGCATGAAATGAAGAAGCTTTATTGGAGATTAGTGGAAATGGACAAACAGAGCTCAGGGCCTGGATGCTGAGGAAGCAAGCAGCAGCCTGAACACCAAAGGTGCACCACACGCGAAGGGAGAAAAGCGCATCACGTCCAAGGCCCCTGGAACAGGCAGGCTGGTACTTGCAGGTTTAGTGGCCAGAGACATGGAACTTCTCATGGCTCGAGATCACCTTTCCATCTTGGACCTCCTCAACAATGGTGCGGACTTGGCGGGTGGTTGTGGATCCTACAAAGGGGGAGAGGAATGGGGAAGTGCCGTCTAAGAAAAGCCGAACAGAAAAAGCTATCGAGTGTCTACCTTTTTTGACATCCAGCTGGAGAACTTAGCATACTTTTTAGAAGGAAACAAGACTGAATTCCAAATAATGCTTTCTCCTTTATAAAACAATCCTAGTTCCTTCGACCTTTCCTTGTAGGCTTGCTCTCCAGACACCCTACCATCTTCCTTGCCCTTCCCTTATTTTCCAATTTCTCTGCATGTTACCAGAGATCAATAACTTACTGTTGATAGATATACCTTGTCATATTGCACATCTTAAATGCTTCAGGATTCTTAACAGCATTGGTACTCTAATATCCCTACCCCCAGTAAAACTAAGAGATGTTTTTAAAATTAAATCTTCTTATAGCCTTGTGAAATTCAGAACAAAACTCTAGCCAATGCCCACCTTGTCTGCTGCACAAAGCCGCTGAGTACTGGGAAGAAATGCTATAAGAAAAGAAAAAAAGTCTGTATTATAAATACAAAACATATATTTTTCTTTGGGATGAAGCTGGTGCAAAGATGGTAGCCAAAGGTATTAATGAGTAGTAGGGAATAAAACACTGGGTAGGATCCTGACAGCTCTTCTGCTGCATCCTCTTTTGATCACTGAAAGGGCTTCATCAGAGATTGGGGGAACCTTGTGGACAAAAGCCAGAGAAGACGGGGGCTATAGTATGGAAGAGAATTGGGCAAGACTGATGAGCAGCAAAGTTGATCAGATCCAACCTAAGAACACAGCACCGAGTCTGATTCATTATTAGTGGCATCATGATTTTTTAAAAAGCCAAGTCAAGCCTCAGGAAAGTTTCCCAGGATGCTGGAACATGTTCTCCACCTGTTCATTACATTCTCTGGCCCAACACTATAATAATTTGTACTATTTAGCTAAGCTAATAAGCTAATGTACTATAAGCTAATGAGCGGGTAGGACTGGGCACAGGGACTTCGGTGCCAGCTTAACATAACTTTCGACACCATGCCAGGCTTCCAATCCAAGGCCAGGGCCACAAGGGATTTGGATGCTGAGGCAACTGTGATAGCCGGGAGCGGTTTACCAATGGAACAGCCCATCCTTAACGTCATTTCGAAATGGCGGGGTGCAATGGTTGGACCAGGACAGCTACTCACAAGTTCCATTTAGAGGTTTCCTCCCAACAGAGCACTCAGGAAAGCCAAATTCTTTGCTCTCACAGACTTCCACAACTTGGCTGGTTATACCTACACCATAGCCCCCTCCTACTCACTGGGCATCCTCTCCCTCCAGCAGGCGTCGGTAGGTGGTGATCTCCTGCTCCAGGCGGGTCTTGACGTCCAGGAGGATCTTGTACTCGTGGTTCTGGCGCTCCATGTCACACCGCAGCTCCGCCAGCTGCTCCTCCACGCTGGTGATCAGCACTTGGATCTGGGCAAGCTGGGTGCCGTAGCGGGCTTCTGTCTCGGCCAGGGTGCCTTCCAGGGCCGCTTTCTGGGGAAAGAGAGTAGGACAGGAACTGAGTCAGTGTCTGGAGGGGAGCTGTACACCTCCCTGTTTGGACCTTTGTACGCTGGATTCCTCCTCAATGGAGACCTCGAGAAGCTCACAACATTCTCCCTTCCTATGTTTTATCCTCACAACTACAACCCTGTGAGGTGGGTTAGGCCGAGACCATTTCCACAGTAGTGGAAGTCCCCCACATTGATGCTTTTAAAACTGTGCATTATGTGAAATTTTCTGCAGTAGATTTTTCCTCACCAGGCACAAACCCAAAGTTTTCTCCTCCTTACCCTGCCTTTTTGGAATCCCCAGTTTTAACGAGTTCCGAAAATTCAGAGTAATACAGAGAAAACTTCAGTTTTGCGCCTGGTGAGGGAAAATCTGCTGTGGAAAATTTCACACAACGCACAGTTTTTAAGACATCAATGCAGGGAATTTCACTACTGCAGAAATGGCCTAAGAGTCCAAGTGGCTGGCCCAATGTCACCTGGTAAGCCTCCATGGCAAAGTGAGGATTTGAACTCCAGTTAGGGTTGCCAGCCTCCAGGTGGGACCTGCAGATCTCCCGGTTTTGCAACGGATCTCCAGCTGACAGACATCAGCTCCCTTGGGGAAAATGGCTGCTTTGAAGGGTGGACTCTCTGGCATTGCACCATGCTGAGGCCCCTCCCCTCCACAAGCCCCTCCCTCTCCTGGATCCACCCCCAAAGTCTCCAGGTATTTTCCAACCCAGACCTGGCATCCATAACTCCAGTCCCCAAGACCCTGCCGTGACATGCTGGCCAATACACCATGCTGGCTCTTCCTTGTGACCCTGGGGGTCTCAGCAGTAAGGATTACACAAGATATCTCAAGACCTGCAGTGAATTCAGCCACCTCACAGACTTAGCATTAAGGATGCAGAAATAGGTTTGTCTCAGGACCTTGTTCAGTATACCTCCAACTACTCACAAGGAAGAGAGGGCCTTCAGCTGGGCTTCTCCTTCACTTCCTCCCCATGGTTGACCACACCCAAATTTAACCCTTGAGTAGGGTTGCCAACTTCAGGCTGGGAAATTCCTGGAGATTTGGGGGGGTGGAGCCTGGGGAGGGAACTCAGCCGAATAAAGTTCCATAGAGTCCACCCTTCAGAGCTGCCATTTTCTCCAGGGGAACTGATCTCAGAAGCCTTGGAATCAGTTGCTGTTCCAGGAGATATCCAGGCCCCACCTGGAAGCTGGCAACCACAGTCAGGAGGGTGCACTTTGCAGTTCAGAGTCCTTGAGTTCCTTGGAAGAATGACTCTGAAGTGCAGCTTGAAGAAATCATGTCCCACTCTGAAGGCCAAGCTCCCCTTATGTAGATACTAAACCTGGCCAATCCCAGCGATTCCTACTGCCTGCCAATCATAGAAGCTGATGTTGCATAGCCCTTGTCTGTCCCTGCTTCGATATTATTCTTATTAGTAGAGACTGTTACTGCTTTTTTTATTTCACAAACTAGATTGGACGAACATATGAGCCTGCCATGGTTCCATCTAGTTTCCTATCATCTGCTCTGCTGGTATCAGCCCTGTGGAGTCTCAGGAAGTCTCTTCCAGCACCTGAGCCCCTTTAGCTAGAGATGTGCTGGGGTTGCACCTGGAACTCCTTACATGCAAGATGTGTGGCCTACAACTGAGCTATGGCTCTTCCTCAGCCACTGAATTCCCACAGAGAAATTTTTAAACGCACTAATTCTGAAGTCCAGTGTGTTGATCCTGAATGTATCCAGGGACCCAAAGACCCTCTTTCCCATCTAACTATGTTGCGTGGTACTGGAGAAGGGAAAAGGAACACCTCCAGCAATAGTTACCATACTTTGGCCATGGAACCCCTGTGTGTGGCTGTTCTGGGTTACACTCTTGAGAACACACTCAGTTACTGCAAGGCACCACTCAGGCTAGGCTTCCCAAGTCCCCCCGGGGAGCGGGGAAAACCCCGCCCCAAGGCCCGTTCCCCGCCGCCACCGGATCGGGCCCCTGGGGGAACTCCACCCCGACATGCGCATCACCCGGAAGTGACGTGACCATGCCGGGCACGCTGGGGGCGGGGCCACGGCAATCCGAGGGAACACTCTATGTTTTCCCTCATATGGCCATGGCCCCGCCCCCAGCATACCTGCCATCGTCATGTCACTTCCGGGTGACGTGCATGCGGCGCGCACAAAGCGCGCGCACACACCAGACGCCGGCCAGGAGCCCCCCACTCCGGCAGAAGATCGACTTGGCAACCCTAGCTCAGGCCTGTAGGTCAGGGGTCCCCAACCTTTTTGAGCCTTTGGGATTCTGACACAATGTGGTGGGCACAGCCACAAAATGGCTGCAGGAGGTGGAGCCAGCCACAAAATGGCTGCTGCTGCTGCAGCTTACTTTCAGTCATGCACTAGCTGCTGCCAAAGTAACATTTTTAAAAAACCTGTACAGCCAATCAAATCTCCAGTGGCCAATCAGAAGCCTTGCTGGACAAAAGCCCCACCTGCTCCCTAAAAACATTTGGTGAGCACCAGGAATGGTGTCAGTGGGCGTCACGGAGCCCACACAGACACCATTTTGGGGGGTCCAGCTGTAAAGTGTCACCCTTGCCTCACATGAACTGAGTGTGTTTGCCGAGAGCATAACCATGCTCAGTAGCGGCAGGCAAATGTGGAGTACCCAGGCTGGGTTTGGCGGTTCCTACCCTGCATAACAATCAGTCGTGAGTGACGGGTTCTTCTGAATTCTTGTGTGTGCAGTGCCCAAGTTGGACCAGGACTTGGGTATGTGTGAAGAAGGGGCTTCATCCTCCACCATCCTCCCCTGCCGGTAACAAAAATTAACTTGGCAACCCTATCAGGAAACCCACAGGTGTCGTCAAAAATGCACTAGAAATATACAGTAGCTGAAAGACTCAAGAACAACTTCTTTGGACTTCCAGTAAACCATCCCAGGGGTAACATTGTGTAGCTTGCTTCTAAATTAGAGGCTGGGGAGGGTGAGGGAAGAATGTCATGGCCCCCTACCATGCTGAGCTGAGCTTGAAGATCTATCTCCAGGCCTTGGACGGTGCGCCTCAGATCCGTGATCTCCGTCTTGCTGCACTGGAGCTGTTGTGTGTGGGTGGCAACTTCTCGGTTCAGCTCTTCGGTCTGCAGGGAATGGGAGAAGACATGTCAGTTACCTACATTACAGAGCAGCAAGCATCTTTTTCTAATGGGACATCCAGTCATCCCCCGAAATGGCGCACCTTGGTGAAGAACCACTGCTCGGCATCTTTACGGTTCTTGTCCGCCAAGGCCTCATACTGCTCGCGCATCTCCGACAGGATCTTGGTCAGGTCCACTCCAGGAGCAGCATCCATTTCCACAGTGATTTCTCCACCCATTTGGGATCGGAGTACAGTCATTTCCTGTGATGGAAGGAGGTTTTGTTTTGTTTTTAGAATCATCAATGTTATTATCAGTTGGGAATGTTCTTTTGTAAAATTTAGAGTTTACAGCCAAGGGATCAGTCTTTGTTCAGTATCTAGATCACTGAAGGCTTAATCCTAAAGAAAGGGTCTTTTAACATGCAGGGTTTTGTTTAGCTATCTCTCGGTTTTTTTAAAGTGTGAGATAGCTGTGGTCATAAATGATTTAGAAGAAGAAGAGTTTGGATTTATACCCCGCCCTTCACTCGGAATCTCAGAGTGGCTTACAATCTCCTTCCCTTCCCCTTCCCATAACAGATACCCTGTGAGGTCGGTGGGGCTGAGAGAGCTCTCAGAGAACTGCTCCTAAGAGAACAGCTCTGCAAGAACTTGTGGCTGACCCAAGGCAACCCGGCAGCTGCCTGTTGTGGAGGAGTTGGGAATGAAACCCGGTTTGCCCAGAATAGATTCTGCGCTCCTAACCACTACACCAAACTGGCTCTTACCTTAGATCCATTCATTTTATCTCAACAGCCATCAAATTAATTGGAGGACTACTGGAGGATGGGTTATAAGTGTCAACAGGTCACTGCTAGAATTTGGACTTACAACAGTCTACGGCTTCAAGGATTCTCCAAGGCACATTAACACAGAGAGTACTCCATCTTTCTGTGTTATACCTCTGAGGATGCCAGTCACAGGTGCTGGCGAAACATCAGGGACTACAATGCCAAGACCACAGCCATACAGCCCAGAAAACCAACAACAACCTCCAAGGATCTTCTTCCCACATGCGTTGATCTAGCTGCACTGAAGTTGTTTCAATCTACTTCTGAGGCTTATAGTTAAATGCGTCCCTTTCTCCACCAGGTTATCTGCCTGCTCCCCAACTTGGAATACCCTTCATTGGACTAGATCTAATCCAATCCACATGGGTACAGCTTTTTCACTTGTGGAATTCCCCTCCTTATAGCCCCCACCACACATGGCTTTTGTCCATGCAGTCACCTTGAGCCCCAGCGTAGCATTCTGGGTGGTCCGAGGGACCTGTTCCTTTTTTCACCAGTGGAAGAGGATAGGTTGATCCAACCCACGTGTTATGTATGGAATCCAGGGACTTCCACATGAGTAGCAGACCTGTCCTATATCTTCTAACCCAAATGCTTTTCAAAGGGATCGGTCCCAGCTTGGCTGTGCAGGTAACAAACTATACACAAATGAAGTGCCTGATGTGCTTGTGTGAGCTCAGCCCAAATCTTACGGTCTTACGTTCAGTAAGTGCCTTGATCAGAGTTTCCCAACCAGTGGGTCAGGACCCAAAGGTGGGTCACAAAGCTTCTGGAACTGGTTCACAGGCCAGCCCTCCCTCATGGCCTCCCCTGCCCTTTCCAATGCTCTCTTTTGTTATTTTGGAAACTAAGAACAGCCCCTGGAAACAGGATCTTCCATGTTTACTTGGTGCTCTTTCTTCATTGCATGTACATGTTGATCAAGTAAAATATCTCCTGATGGTCCCTAGAGTGAATGAAAATCTTAGAGGGAATTTGAGGGAGTCATGGAGAAGGAGAGATGGGTCAAAGGCTGGAAACATCTAACTTCCACATTTGAAGGCTGTGCATTGCTTGGGCTTCCTAGTGGGGGCAGCTGCACCCTTTGTGTGATGTTTGTTGGTTTCTCAATAACACCTGCTTAGCCAATGCAGAAAAAAGAGTGCCAAACTAGATGAGTGTCAAGGTCATAGTTTGCCTAGGGAGCCAAAAAAAAACCCTCACGTAAATGAGGACTTGTGGGTGACCATCCGAAAAAGATTGGAAACCTCTGGCCTAGATCACAGCAACCTGACAGGTCTGAGTTCCAGCCATTTTTCATAGAGACTCCTAGGTTGTGTCATTGTGTCCAAATCTGAGCCTATGCTGGGCAGTGTTCCCTCTAAGTTGAGTTAGTTTGAGCTACCTCACAGTTTTTTAGCCTCCAGCTCACACATTTTTTGTCTTAGCTCAGGAAGGATGGCTCCAGAGCAAACTAATTTATGCAGTAGCCAAATCGCTCCCTCACAACTTTAATGCCAGTAGCTCACAAAGTAGAAATTTTGCTCACAAGACTCCACAGCTTAGAGGGAGGGAGCGTTGGCCCTCATAAGCCAAGATCAGCATGTGGTAATGGGACAAACGAATGTGTGTTGGATAGACCTCCTTCTAAGCCTAGGCTCCCCATATTAAGAACCTGTATCCCTCTCCAGTGCGGGCAGACTGGCACCCTCACCTCCTCATGGTTCTTCTTCAGGTAACCCAACTCTTCCTGCAGGTTCTCCAGCTGCATTTCCAGGTCAGACCTGGCCAGGGTGAGTTCATCCAAGACTCTGCGCAGACCATTGATGTCTCCCTCCACGCTCATGCGCAGCGCCGCCTCTGTCTCATGCCTGTATCCGCAAAGGGGAGGAGACGCAGGGAAAGGGGGGGAAAGATATTTAAACGGGATAATGTCTATCATTCCACTTTCATTCAGAGATGGTTTGGAAGACTATATGATCCATCTTCCAACTGGGGTTAAGAACTGGACTCACTTGGTGCGGAAGTCATCAGCGGTCAGTTTAGCATTGTCAATCTGCAAGAGGATGCTGGCGTTCTGAACGTTGGCGGCCAGAATCTGCAAGAAAATTGTGGTTTGCATGAACAACCCGTTTTGCAGCTCATTTACGAGCAAGCATGTAGACTGGAGTGGAGTTTTGTTGCAGCTGGCATCAAGCCCGGTATTTTTTTAGTAACCAGGGCTGCACTGCGAAAGACTAGGACACAGAACAAACTTTTGTGGAATGTTGTGGAGCATTATGGAACACCAAGGCTGTGATCACACACACAAAATAACCCACCTTCAATCCCCTTTCAATGCACTTTCAATACACTTTCCAACTGGATTTTACTGTGTGAACTGGCAAAATCCATTTGGAAAGTGCACTGAAAGTGGATTATTTAGTGTGTGTGATTGCAGCCCAAGACATGGAACAAACTCCCAAGCCATGGAACAAACATTGTGGAACACCAAGATCTGGAACAAACATTCAGTGCTGGGCTCCACCCTGAGAGCTTCTCTGAGCATGTATGGTAACCACAGTCATCCCCACCCCTTTGGGATGCCATTTCCAATGGCCCTGCTGCTTCCCCTGCTGTTACTGAAAACGTGCCCATGTACATCAAGGTGCATCTGCTTCACCTGGAAGTGGAGCAAAAGAACTGTCTGCCACAGTTCCTGGCCACCACTACAGACAGCCACCTATGGCTGCTTGATATTCACACTGACCCTGAGCTTCGTGAAATGCACAAAAGAGATATGTGGCCCTCTGGCATTCAACCTGATCTTTCAAGGAAGGGGGATCATTCCTACAAAGAGGCTTGAATGTATTTGTAGTCCGTGTGATCTGAGTGCTGACTTGTCTGTGGGAGCTCTGTATTCAAATCCTTGTCCGTCTAAGAATGCTGGGTGTGGAACGCTTCCACGCCTTTGCCATCTGTCACTTTCCCCTGTCTGTGCAACAAACGCATACATCTGACCACTGCTGACCTGTTCATGCAACTCCTGCTCTGGTGCCTTAATAGGATCTGTGGTTGTGAGCAAGTGATAACTTTTTTTCTCTCTGTGCCATGAAGAAAGGTCAGCTGCCTACGTCTGTAGATCAAGCTGCTATTAACTGGGAGGATGCGTCCCCTTTCCCACTTCAGGCAGCGGTCCCTCATGTGGTGCCCACGGGTGCCAAGGTGCCTGCCAATGTGTTGCTTGGCGCTCAGTTCTTTCCTCCCTCAAACATCCTTCCTCAAACATCCCATAGGGTTTTCAGCAGGGCAAAAAAAACCATTCAAAGATGGCTTGCCATTGCCTGCCTCTGCTTAGTGACCCTGGGTGTTGTTGGTAGTCTCCCATCCAAATCATGACCAAAGCCAGGGGCGGATGAAGGCTCACCGGTGCCCTAAGCACTGGCCCATCTTGGTGCCCCCCTGCTTTCCACACTGACCCCGTCCATTTTAGTTGTTGACCTGTCTGACCAGATAGACAAAGCAGGTTGCAGCAAAACAAACATTTAGTCATGTGATAACACAATATACTGTACAAACTAAGCTTTTCACCCTTTCCCCAACTTCGTGATGCCCCCTTTGGCCCTGGTGCCCCTAAGCACCTGCTGAGTCTGCTTCATGGTTAATCTGTCCCTGACCAGAGCTGATGAGATCGGGCTAGCCTGGGCCATCCAGGTCAGGGCAAAGCATCCCTGCCTCAAAGTAGCCTGGGCTTTTCTCCGCCTGACTGGATTAGGACATACATCAAAAGAACCCAGGAGACCTCACCTTTTGTCTTCAGAGAGCACCTATTTGAAAACAGCTGTCTCCATCATAGGATGACACTTAGAACCTTCCAACATTCTGTGACTGGCCCCGGCTCCCATGGCAGCCATTTTGTAGTTGGCTGATTTCCCCTCCTCCGTGGCAGCCACTTTGTGGTGGTGCCCACTAACTGTTATCAAAATTCCAAGTACCCACAGGATCACCAACCTTGGGGACCCCTAAAGTACAGGCACTTCAAATGGGATGTTGTTCCTACAAATTGCCTTCTTTGGGAAACATTTGCTATGTGCTCTGTACAACTTTTGCCCTCATGTGCATCCATTTCATTGTGTGAAGATGTGTTGGCCCACACAAAAGTGACATCCTTGTGAGAATAGTACTATGTTCCAGGGGGAAGTCCTGATACATAATCTAGTAATCTTGTTTGGTGTACACAGAACCTCCTAATTTAAAGTAAGCCTCTGAATACCAGTGGCTATGAGGCAATGTCAGGGAATGGCCTTGGCTTCCATTCTCTGTTTCGTTGGCCCTCCAGGGCAACTGGTTGGTGGCTGTGTGAAACAGAATGCTGACTAGGTGAACAACTAGTCTGATCCTGCAGGGGTCTTCTAATGTTTTTTTTAATTCTCATCTAATTCAATCTTCCCAATAACCCTGTGAGGCAGAGGCAGACAGAAAATTGCCCCAAGGAATCCCACCCCAGTGAGTTTCAAGGATGAGGAGAGGCTTAAATCTGGGCCTCTCATATCCTTTCCTAACCATCTATATGCCAGCATCTTTCTCCGCAGTCACTATCATAACAAATGCATCCTTGGCTCTTTTTTGCCTTTCTCCTCACCTGAAACAAAGCCCCTGTGCTTTTATACTGAACATCTGACCTGATGAAGAGTTGTGGGAAACACGAAAGGTTTTGTGATTTTTGGATTGGCCTTATTGAAAAGGTATTTCACAATCTTTTAAGATGAAGTTTCTCCATACCAGCACAGCTACCCACAAAGACTGAGTACATTCCTGCACTGGTTCACATCCCTCCTTCACAAAAAGATTTTATTTTTATAATGACTTCTGAATTGTGAGCCTGTGTTGGTTCGGATATTCCTCCCTTACCCCACCCCCTAACTGTAAACCTGTTATTTGACCTGCCGATCACTAAGCAACCTTATCTCAGTGAAGGGTCTGTTCCACCCCATCTCCCATGAAATATGTGTCGAAGGTATGTTTTCCTTTTCTCCCTAGAAGGAATGCAAGATGTACTCTGTAAGGAGGATAAAAGTGAATTATGTTTAAGGATGGAATTGGTGAACTTTCTTTTGGAATTCTAGACCCTGAGCTTTTGTCTGTTTTATCCTGTGAAAGAACTTTGAATCTCATTCAGAATGCCAGCTTGCTCTCTCTTGCTTGCTTGCTGGCTTGCATCAGATGATCATCTTATTAAAACTGCATGCTCTGATAGCCTAAAGTCTTGAGTGAATCTTTTGCTCTTCAAGACAGATCTCAGAAAAGGGGGGAGGAGTTATATTAGGATTTTGGATACTCCTCTAACACCTAGCCTCTCCCCCTTCATTATACTCCCCATGCTCACAAGCCTGTCTGAAAGTGATTGTAAGCTCTTTGGGGCAGGGAGCTGTCTTCTTCTGTAAAAAGCTCTATGTCCAAATGCTATTTCATTTTTATTCTATTATCTCTGGGAGCGGAGCCATACACATTGCTAAAGAGAGAAAAAATTCAATACAGATTCAAAGAAATACAAGATAAGGGTGAACACAACAGAGTCCTATTCACAGCAGCGGCTGGTGCTGATGTTATCTGATCCTATGCTAATTTAACAAACATAGTGTGAAAGAAACCCAACAGTCCTGATTAAGTCCAAATGGAATACAGTCAACTTGGCAATTCCGTGCTGGAACTTCCCTTTAAAATCTTTTGTTCCATTACAGCAAGGTCTATCGTGCAGAGTCCCAGATGTTATCTTCATAATTATTTTTAAAGCATTGCATTAAGATGCCTTCATGACTTACTTAGGAGAAATGAGTTAAAACAACTATTTCATGAAAGTCACTTATGGAAATGGGGATTGGGGGAGCTTAACTCACTACCTTGCTTTAGAAAATGCAGTTCTTCTCTAGCCTTTCCCCGCGACAGCTGTCTATCTTTGTCAATGGCTATTTACTGAAGAAGTGAGCAGTGACTCACGAAAGCGTATTTTTTTAGTTCTTAAGGCGCGAATGGACTCTTGTTCTCTTCTACCACTGCAGACAGTCTAACACAGCCACCCATCTTGATCTATTGACTGTCCGTTCGCTAGACTGCCCCTTTTACTGGGCATTCTTGACACTACTCAGGCTTACCTTGCTCCTCAGGTCTTCGATGGTCCTGAAATACAGGCTGTAGTCGCAGTCTGGACCAGGTGCGTGTTTCTTGTGCCACTCTCTGATCTTCACCTCCAGCTCAGTGTTGGACTCTTCCAGGGCACGCACCTTGTCCAGGTAGTTAGCCAGGCGGTCGTTCAGGTTCTGCATGGTCTCCTTCTCGCCCCCAGCCAGCAGGCCTTCCCCGCCACCGACGACAAAGCTGCCCCCCAAGCCGCCACCAAAGCTGCTGCAGTAGCTGCCCCCATAACCACCACCAAAGGAGCTGCCTACCCCAGAGACATAGCGGGAAGAAGATAAGGAGATGCCACCAGCTCCACCATGGATGCTCTGGGCTTGGTACCCCCCTCCGAGATGCACGGAGGAAAGCCGGGAGGAGCCCCCGCCAAAACTCATGGGCCCCTTCGTGGAGGAGGAAGAGGTGTATTGCCTGATGGTGGTGGTCATCTTGCCAGGAAATGGAGAACCACCCGAGAGAGAGTTCCCCGGTAAGCTAGAAAGCGTAGCAAACAAAGTAGAAAACTAACGGCTCTGTCTGTTTCCACGCTCTTTTTATCCTCCAGGCTGGGGGCGTTGCTATAGCAAAAAAGATCTGTTCTCTTCCAGTCATTTTCCAGGGCTTTCATCATCATGAACATCCAAGCCAAGTTCCAGGATCGTCATTTGTTTTGCCCCGGGCCTATTCATGCATTTGTCACTTTCTGGCCGATACACCTTGTCCCACGAACGGGGCGGTTTTGTGTTTCTCTCTTTGTTCCCAGGTGAACACTGAGGCGTGATTCACAAACAGAAGAGGTGTTGCTCAAGGGCATAATTGACAATGGCCACCTTTTCTTGATGGGATATGTATCCTGGGACAGAGAGGGACCTTGAGAACCTAAAGACTCAGAGGAGGGGTGTGAGGGTCATTACAACACATGGAGGGGTTATGCAAACGCCTTGACTCAAAGCACCCAAACTCCTTGCAGATCTGTTTCTGGTGGGTGGGAGATCCAAATCGAAAGCTCAGGGGGCCTTTTTGCTTTTAGCAAATTCCCACTTTGAAGGTGCTTCGCTAAATATCTTCAAATTCTCATTGTATGTGCATGCAGAGACATGCCAGTTGGACACGATTTCTCCCACAAAATTGGTTCCCAGGTATAAAGTCTGTAATGTATGCAAAATCCATCACAGGCCAATTAATCCCATTAGACCTAGGGGGGTATGATGTATTTTTTTCCAGTGTCACAGCACACTTTGCAACAAAAGCAAACCTGCTTCTTTTCCAACCCCCCCCCCCGAAGCCTTCCTAGTAAACCCTCAAACTGCCATTTCAAATTTCTCATTAAGAGCCTCCTTGGATTTACTTTGTGACTGGTTTAAATGGCATCAGCCCTGATTCTCCATCCTCTGTCTCAGGACTGAAATATATGCATGGAGAGAAGATATATATCTGAGCATGCACAGAGTGCATTTTCGTGGTCAACTACAAAGCATGCGCATAATCTAGTATGGGTGCTACAGTCCACTCAGGAGGGGTTTTTTGTCATTACAGAATGGAAATTTCCTGTAATGATAAAAGTAATGTAGGAGCAGCTACTTCCACACAAGGGTGACCATTTTGGTTTCACTGTGTAACTTCCGAGCAAACACAGAATGGAAATGTCCTGTGTTTGCTCCAAAGTTACACAGCGAAACCAAAATGGTCGTCCTTGTGTGGAAGTAGCTGCTCCTACGTTACTTTTATCATTTAAAAAGTGTGTACATCATGTGATATGAAAACTGACATTTGCTCCTATACATTCAATCTCCTGCTTTTTTAAACCAAGTAGATCATTGAAAGCACCCCTGCTCACTCACTACAGTGAACACATGTATGCCCGGCATGCGCATGCATACCAGAGTTGCCAAGACTGGCAACCAGAAGGAGGGACATGGGGGGCAGCCTTTAGTGACAGCGTGATGTCACTTCCGGGGAAGCCCTGGAAATGACATCATGCCTCTTTAGGAATCACCAGAGACTATGGCAAAACTGCCAGGGGACTGGCAACCCCAATGCATTTGCCTGGTTGTGAGAAAGACCTAATGCGTGTTCACTTTACAAATGAAGCTAAGAACTGGTACCTGGATAAATGTGGGGTTTCAACCACATCTTCAGCTGAACATGCATTGGATGCATTGGATGTAACGTGAGAATTACTCGATGCATGTATAACCAAGTGTGCACTGTGTTCAGTGTGTTAGAAGTAGAGGACTTTGTGCTGTCTCCTGTCTCAGACTTGAGAAGATGGCACCAAAGAGTTTAGACAGATAGAGAGGTCAGGACACACAGAGCATCCTTTCCTTTCTGCTATCTGATCCTTTCCTTTGAAGTCTCTCTCACTCTCTCTTCTTTCTCGCATGCACGAAGAAGGTGCTTGATCTCCATCTTGCGCCATGGAGGCTGGACATGCGTCCAGCATCCAACACCATCTACTTAGTTAGAATAGGCCATCTATAGCTGTCTCTTACCTGCACTCTCAACCATGTATTTCTTAGTTTTGTTACTTCTTAGTTTTAGAACTGACTGCGGATTCTGTGTGACTTTGTAAGTCTGCTGCCACACCAAGCCCCAAGCTTCACTGCGTTTAAGCCTTCGAGCGCTCTGCTATTTTTCCGTGGTTCCCTGGCAGTACCTAGTCCAGAGAATCCAACACAGTGTAACTTGCGAACAGGGCTAAAGTTTTGCATATAAAAAGTGCTCCCAGTTAGAGGACATCTGGGAGAAGGGCAGGGAAGGACTTCTGCTGGAGCTGCAGTAGATGCCACCAGTGTTCCCTCTAAGCTGAGTTAGTGTGAGCTAGCTCACAGTTTTTTAGCCTCCGGCTCACCCATTTTTGTCTCCGCTCAGGAAGGATGGCTCCAGAGCAAACTAATTTATGCAGCTGCCAAATCGCTCGCTCACAACTTTAATGCCAGTGGCTCACAAAGTAGAATTTTTGCTCACAAGACTCCACAGCTCAGAGGGAGCACTGGAGGAGCTGGACTGGGGAAGCGTAACTGACTCTGGATTTGCCTGTTCCATTCAGGCTGTTAGATGTGGGTCGCTCTGACCCTACCACAACACCAATAGCAGAAATGCAGCGGGCGAAACTGTCATGCCTAGGGTTACCAACTCCAGGTTGGGAAATCCCTAGAGATTTGGGGGTGGAGCCTGAGAAGGGTAGGGGAGGGGGAGGGGGAGGACCTCAGCAAGGTACAATGCCATTGAGTGCCCTCTCCAAAGTGCCCATTTCCTCCGGGGGAACCAACCTCTGTAGTCGACCAGCTGTAATTCCAGGAGATCTCCAGGCCCCACCTGGAGGCTGTCAACCCTCATCACACTGCTCTTAAGGTTCGGTTGGTCTGTGTTTGCTCCACTGCTGCTACAGGTTCCAAGGAATTTCCACCCAGCTTCATTGCAACCCAATCCCCTCCATTGTTCACTTCCTTCTGGATTTTGCAAGATGCCGAAACAGAGGCCCCGGGGAGAGTTCAAGTGAAAGAAAGCTCATCCTCTTACTTGGAAGCCTGTGGAAATATTTAGGATGAAAAACATGAGGTTCAAGGCAACAAAAAAAAGGGGGGGGAGACTAATTACCCGCTGCCCAGTGCTGTTCACCGTCTGTTTTCAGCGGCTTTTCCCCACAATCTGCATTTTTCCATTTTTAAGATTTCTTTTTTCTTTTTCTGGAAAGGGGTACATTTGAATGGGGAGGCAAACTTTTACCTCAGTTGTAAGGACCCATTTCTGCTCATCCCAGGTTCCCAGCAGCAGATAGCTGAGGCGTTGTCCATGTTGATTTAGTGGCGAAGGGAACACCCTCTGCCCAATTATTTCTATTTTCAATATTTATGCCATGCTCTCTTACCGCAAAGATTCCAGTCATAGCAATTTTTTAAAAGGGGAAATCAAGAAAGCTATAAAACGATTAGTTGAGCTGACCACACAGGTTGTAGCCTAAAACTCAAGGCGATAAAACTGGCAGTCCAACAATAAGGGCTAGAAGTAAAAAAAACACAAACATGCACGGTAGAAATGATGCAATGAAAGTGAGAAAGGAGTCAGGGGAAATGCCCAGAGGTGCCCTCTCGGATACAGGCCACTGTTTTCTCCTGAGACAGACTCTTGTCTGTCAAAGTCAGCACTGTCTACTCTGACTGGCAGCAGCTCTCCAAGGTCTCAGGGAAAGGTCTTAATCACCACCTGATCTTTTCCTCTGGAGATGCCGGGGGCTGCCCCTGGACCCTTCTGCATGTGCAGAAAGTGCTGTCACTGAGCCACGGCCCCTCCATATACGAAACTCCCTTTTTATTGAATCAGACTATTTGTCTATCAAGGTCAGATCTGTCTACTCTGCCTGGCAGTGGCTCTCCATGGTGTCAGAGCGATGTCTTTCACATCACCTACGACCTGCTCCTTTTAACTGGACCTGCCGGGGACTGAACCTGGGGTCTTCTGCGTGCCAAGCTGATGCTCTACCACTGAGAAACAGCTCCTCCCCACTTTGGTTTGGTATGCGTTTCTCATGTACAAGGGCAGGAATTATAGTGATGGAACACTGTTTCCATGACTAAGACACTTCCTCAAAGGATGCTCTCTTTTGGTCTTTGTAGCACAGGCCTGGCACAGCATGTGACCCTCCCATCTGAATGCAGCTTGCCATCTTGCCTGGGGACTGAGACACTGGAGGGGAGGGGGAGAAGAAGAAGAAGAAGAAGAAGAAGAAGAAGAAGAAGAAGAAGAAAAAGAAGAAGAAGAAGAAGAAGAAGAAGAAGAAGAAGAAGAAGAAGAAATAATTGTGTGGATTTATACCCCGCCCTTCACTACCAAAAGTACTCTCAAAGCAGCTTACAATCTCCCTTCCCTTCCACTCCCCACAACAGACACCCTGTGAGGAGGGTGGGATTGAGAGAGCTCTTTCAAGGACTGCTCTTGAGAGAACAGCTCTGAGAGAACTTGTGACTGACCCAAGGTCACACCAGCAACTGCATGTGGAGAGGTGGGCACTCAAACCCGGGTCTCCCAGATTAGAATCCACGCTCCTAACCAGAGCACAGTGCAAATCTAGTGTGGGTGGCTTTTGCCCAGACGAAACATGATTTGTCCGGGATGGTTGGAGAACAAGGTCAGTTTGTCTATTTTTTTTTCCTGCCATGCCTTTTGATCCAGAAGGGTGTCCAAGGAGAATGATAAAATACAGTCCGCTTGGACAGGGTTGCCAGCTCTGGGTTGGGAAATACCTGGAAATTTGGGGGCGGAGCCTAGGGAGGAGAGGGAAGGGTTTGAGGAGGGGAGGGACCTCAGCAGGATATGATGCTATAGAGCCCACCCTACAAACCAGCCATTTTCTCCAGAGGAACTGATCCTGGTAGTCTGGAGATCAATTGTAATAGAAGGAGATCTTGGCAACCCACTCATTTGGAGAGGCTCCCATCTTCTCTGGCAGAACAGCCAGCCAAAGCCCAGTTCTCACCGAGTGTTCCTGGTTGCATTCAGTCCCTTTTCATCCCATCTCTCCACCGAACGGTCTATT